ATCTTTACGCGAAAGTTGCTTAATCTACTATAATACACCTCACGCAAACTTACAGTCACTATAAACTACAACTATGTATTAACTGTCAATATAAACTACATTAGCTGCGTTTTGGCGCATCCTCGACTTGTACTGTTTGATGCATTAAAGAGTATTTCTTAAGCTCCCAATACTTTAACTGAACAACCTAATTTTAGTTACCACCTTTGGTAACCAAGAGCAAATAAAGCATCAAGTTATTCTAGAGGAAACATGCAGTTGCCGCCAAGTTAGTTGTACAAACAAAGTAATAGCTCAATATTTGTTCGAATATTGCGACACGAACACAGTTTATAGAGCGATAAATACTTGGTGTTGGCTTTCTGTGGTTTATTGGTGTTCGTTCGTCTTAGTTTGACATCTCGGATAATCTCTAGCTCGCTGGTAATAAAGGATTTTATGAATGAAAGAGTCAAAGTCTTTCAAAACAAAATAACAGAGGGTAAACTACTCAAAATATTACAGTCGACAGTTTCTGTGATGAATTGAATGTTGATTTTGTGTAGTATTTAGGCTAGCGAATCCTCTGCAATCTAAAGTCAGTTCTAGACGACTACACATGTGAATCTATCAATATTCTATTTTATGTTTTTTATGTTAATATATTTTTCCGTATTTTTTAAGGGTGAGGTCAAAACCCTGGTGCTTTTACTGTCATTTTTTCGCAGACATTTTTTTTTAATAAGGTGTCATTAATTAGTAACCTATGACAAATAACGTTAAAGATCCTATTAGGCAAAACCAAGTCTAGGTTGTTAAAATCTTCCTAACTTTGAATGAGTATCCTGTTTGAACTGTCTAGCAAAATATTTGGTTGTTTGAGTTTCCAAAACACTCATACAAAGATGTTTAATATTACTAGCCCATTTTTCACAGAGAGCTTTCAAACTTTACACAACTTATACAGTAAGGAGGTTGTTAAAATAATCTCTCTTCTGTAAAAATGTCTGCTTCCTAAAAAAACAAAATCTCGGTAACGTTACAAAAGCAGATTGCCAGCGGTTCCAAAGGTTTTATGTCTTGCGACCAACTTATAAAATAAGTTTTATAATAAGGCAACAATTATTCAGTGTTATAAACTTATTAATATTATCATGTACGCTGAGAACCACACAGCTAAATTGAAATTGTGAGGATTGTGTTGTTGAAAATACAATATAGTCAAAAACACTAGCCTATTGTTTGAGAAACTTAAAATATTATACAGAACTGTTAAACCCTACTATCTACAAGAGACTATCTGAATTGAATGTTGACACCTACTGTAAGTTGAATGTGACACCTACTATTTTACACTCATAGTCTATTTCTGTGTTTAATTTTTAAGGAGAATGCCCTCTCACACAAATACTGTTTTACGTCCCAATCTGCTCTTATCGATGCTTCCACCGTTCTTAACATATATAGCTAGAATTAGTAAAATTTTTTGTATAATATAATTCTGCCAAAAGTTAAAAGATGAAATAATATGTCTATTATTATTACCAATAATTGAGATGGGAATGAGGTTTATCGAGTGACCATGCCTTGGGATGAGTGAAGGATGAGTGTAGAATGAAGTGTGATAGTTTATGTAAAGCTCAATGTCATAAAATAGATTCAACTTTCTTAGGATTCCAGCAAAGTAGGGGTCTTTAGAAGTTTTGGGTCCAGTACTATTATAAATGTAGCCCACTTCGGATCAGAATGTTGACAGAATTTGTCATGCTAAAAATAAACAGTATCCAATAAATAGTACACTATTTACGAAAGATAATGATAACTGAACAAACTGTCTTAATGGCGCACTTCCTTCATGAACTCGTCGTAAACAAAATTTTAAATGATGAGAAACCCCTTATAAACCAAACACTGTATGACGTGTTTAACAGGAGGTTAATTTAAGAACTGAATAAAGCCTTTTTGTACATTTAACTACAAAATCTCTTGTTTAAAAAAAGTTAGGGGTAAGTGTTTTTCACTACACTATGTTTTTAGCTGTTTTACATACGTTAAAATTTGTGGCTGAAAGTTACGTTTTGCTAGCCATGCCAGTTGTCATAATCATTTTGGGACCGAGAAGGTTTTTACATCCCTAGGGCCGCAAAATCAGCTGCCCGCTTACTTTCTTAAACATGAATGCATATTACACTGTAATACAAAATCAGTATACATAGCAGCATTGCACTAGAATTTTGTTAATGTCACCGCTGCCTAGCAACTATTTATTATTATTTTTGCTGATTCCTCAAATTATTTCTTCACATAATCTTAAAGTTGTAGTTGTGTTGACTATCATTGTGCATTATTATGGTGATGAATAGTTGTAATAGGGTATAGGCCTAGTATGGTGAAAAATAGCATTCGTAGTACAGAACGAATCGGTTTTGCAGCAAAAAAAAAAAAAAAAAAAACTAACTAAGTTTTAAAAACTATCTTGAGCCAACAAAACCTCATTTTCGGCCCTAGGTACGAAATATAATATTTTGATCACAAGTTGTTGTTAAGTTAATTATCGTGTTGTGTATTTATCACGAATTCATCCTAACTATATTCCGTAACGTGTCACTACAGTGACCAACTCAACGATTACGATGACATCGTAATCATTCTTCGCGTCGTCGTGGCAACATCATGATAATCTACACGTCGCGAAGTAAAGATTCATCCAATAAAAAACGGGATAGGTTGGCCCTTTGCATATTGCGCGACAATATTGTAAGTTTTTGTCACGAAAAGTTAAAGTTATTTTCCTTGATCACAATATTAGAGTTTAATCACGCCCAAGAATTCACAAAACTATTCAAATCCATTAATATTTTGAATAACAACATTTCCCAAACAATTAGTATTTTAAATTCAGATTTTAAAATCAATATTACGTCAAAAAGTGAATATAATGAAAATATTTGAATGTACAGCCATGCCCTGCTAAACCGATCGGTACTATTCTGGTGCTCAGAAGACCATTCAATTATTAAAAAATTACAATTCCCGATATAAAAAACCTATAAAAAACATTCTTTTAACGGCACCAGTGGGTCGCAGTTTGAGGACCGCTGGACAGACACTATCGTGTTTTCTACCCAGGAGTAAGCCCACATCACAGTAAGCCCAACGGCAAATAAGTGGACAAATCCTTGGTTAAATACTGGTAAGTTGTAAAACATAGTCTGCTTCTGTAACGTAACCAAAAACAACATCTTAAGCAGAACACTTGAATTTCAAAAATTAAGATACATTCGTCGAACTTAAGTTTATATAAAAAAGAACTTTAAGATAAATGAAAAGTTCGCAGAATGTTTCAAAAACCTAGTTTATTAAATTTGTAAAGTTTTGTAAAGTGGTCAAATGGGATAGTTCCATAAAGTCAAACGTAAATACCTCTTTGTAGGACTTTTACAGTGCACGGTATCTGTATAACCAAGCTAATGAAGAGATTTTCTTGTTTCCTAAAATAACGAATCGCGGTTAGAATGGTTACCATTATTTTTCTGTCTAGAAGCATATTCTAAAACACCCTTCATTCCAGCATCCTCTTGTTTTCCATCAAGCAGAGTTAAGTTTATTGTTTTATTCCTTTATCCATGATCATTGATTAACTCACGGTACCGATTAACTAATTGTTTAATCATTTGCTTCGATGATAATCATATTATCATCTATATTGATAATGATAATGATGTATCTTAATGATTGTATTTGCTATATTTTATTTTATTTGTATGCTTCAATACAGTTTAAACACCATTTACATTGAAGCAGTTCATGCACTTATAATATTATTGCTTCAGTGGGTTTCTTGTTGTCTTTTCACTTCACTTTTACCTACACTTTCATGCCATGCATTTAATACTAACTTAAAAACAAAATTTTCAATAACTATAACAACAATGTATATATATTTGAAAAGATTAACAATGATAAATTATATAAATATATAAATACTGACTAGTAAAAATAAATAGAACAACGAAAAAATATATAAATTAACATTTACTGATTGATTAATACTGTTTTTAATTTTAATTTGAAATTATTTATGTTGTCAGAGAAAATATCAATACTATTGCACTTTTTTATTACGAAATTGTAGTGTTTCATTATATAGAGGGGGGAGGAGGCATGGGCAGTGGTGCGGCTGTAGGGCAACGAGAAGAGATGTTTGTTTCTACTATTAAAGCAGGTTTCAAAGATAAGCACAAAAAATGAGATTGAAAATTTGAAAAAATTAACATGGATTTTATGCGTTGCCATGCTGGTGACGAAATAACAACGAAATATAAACAGAAAATCAAAACAAATGGAAGAAACTCCAATCACATGTTTTATTTACAGTGTGGGGTGAAAATAGAGAAGTGAGTACATTACATATTTTTGGTCGAGTTTCGACCACTGGACGACCTCTCGTTGATATTAATACCTACTTCACTAGCTAAGGCGTTCTAATAGACAACCCGTATAAGAAACAAAAAAAACTTCGAATAACAACGAAGTGACCCTCTGTACTATGTTGAGACAACTATGTGATCCTTTAATTCTCTATTAGATGTACAATTCTCCAGTAGGCCTACCGGATAGTCCAGCATTGTAACCGATCTTAGATAGCTAAAATTTAATACTAGATGGTCGATATTTAAGTTTTTGAAAGACAGGTTTAGAATTTCTTCAGAAGGGTTAAAATTTTTTTGGTACAACTTTGGAACCCAAAACAAGAACACAACTCCAAGTAAGCCCATAAATCACGAGTAGCCACGTCTTACGTCATTGCCACTTTCACAATCTGCTGGGTTTGGATAAGTGTTTGAGTGGCGTGAACAGTATCCACTTGTCATCGCCAAGTTTGTCACAGGCTCATTACCCAGGGACCGTCGGTATCTGTGGACAGTCGTTGTGGGTGTCAACAATGGGGGTGGCAACAATGTGAGGTGGAGGGTGGAGAGAGGCACCCTGACTCACTCACTTGGGCCGCAACCCCGCTACTGGCAACACTCTCCCACTGAGCCATATCAGGTACGACCACCACACTCGCCACCACCACTCTACCACCCTAGTACTGTACTTCTACTGCACTCTTGCACCACCACCTTAGAAACCAAGGTTAGATCCTCGAGCATCACAAAATCGGCTTTCATTTTGAATTGGCATTGCTTTGAAAACTCTGTAAAAGGTACTTATATAAATAGTTAAAAGGTACTCGTCGTATAAAGTCATGAGATTTTAAAGCTTGGTTGGAAAATTTTAAACATTTTTAGGAGTCTACACAAATATTCCATTCAATACTCGAGGTATGAACGGTAGACGACGTGACGCCGAGTAATCGGTCATACAACTCAGCTCGCGTTGAAAGTCACGCTAAGATGCTAATTAGGGCCAATAGCTGCTCGGTTGAAGCGAGATATCGCTCGTTAATGTCACTCCAGGACCAACTGACATTTAATTCCACCTTTGTCGTTACCATTAACAAAAGGAAACTAATTGCAAAATGTTAGCGTTAATATTTATAAACTCATTTAATAAGCACTACATTTTGCTTATTCTTTCCATGGATTAAAAATATTGTATCGTAATACTTAATTTTTAGTTGGTTTGAATAATCTATATATTGTATTCAAGTAAGTAAAGACTACAATCCTACAAATGTACATACCAGAAGGTGAAACATTGTATCACCTAACAATCTACATAAGATTTTTAAAACGCATATATTGAATCAATAAGATATACGCTAAATCCACAAAAAAGTAGTTTAAGATAACACTTGCTAAAGCTCTTAAACCTTTATCAAATTTGCTAAAACTTTAACTGTACAATAAAAAGATTTGTTCAATTTTTGCCAATACACAAAATGATAAACTGATATTTAAATTTTAAAAAGTAGGAAAATTACAGATTCTAGTAAAATATTGCTCACCCGAGTTATTTAATGCAGTTTTATGCAAAGTTAAATACGCAAATATTGGCAATAAAAATCAATATGAATAATAATGAATTGACCACCAACTTATTCACAGTATCTCACAGGTATCTTATTAAACATGTCCACGTTTTCTGTACAGTTTGATGGAGTAGTATGGCAAATGTATTCATTACTTTGCTTAACTCATTAGAGTCCCTTTTTCAAACTCATAATTTTATAAATAACGTAAAAATGCTAATCCATAAAAATATGACAACAGTCTGAACAGATTAGTGGCAAAGCATTTGGATTAGTAATTGACCAGTCCCGGCAGTTATTTATAAATCCATGCTTTATTTTTTACAGTGATATGATACAAAAATATAACAAATAAATCAAAACATATATAACATAGTAATAGTAGTCTATTACTATGTAATATATGTTTTGATTTATTTGTCTTTTTAATGTGCATTATTATATTTTTTTTGTCCATAGTTATACAATTCTCCTATAAATTAAATAAAAGTCTCTTAAGATATTTTGTGTGCTTACTACAACTATGCTCTAATAATTTAGTAAGTTAGGTCAAATGAAACTCCAAGAAACTACTAAGAACTATTTAATGCAATCTTTACACCATAATTGTTATTGTATACAAAAATAATACGGATATTTAATAAAACTATCTATCAACATATGCAGTTATTATTTGTATTACAATCAATATTTGGTATTATTTATTAGTTAAGCATAAATGAGTATAGTGGTTGTGAAATCTCTAATTACAAACACTCTTTTAAACAGTATAATACGATGCTTTAATAGTTCATTGGCCAAAAAAAGTATAGCACAGTGTTTCGGTTCACCTACCATGATTTGTCTAAAATATTATCTAAACTACACAATATTTTCCAACGAAAAAAACCCTTTTGCTGGTTTCCACACTCATAATGACTGAGAATTATTAGTTTTTTTTGGAAATCCTGCAAAATCATATTATCTTCAACCATGAAATCTTAATATCTTAACAGGGCCTCATAATGACTTGTAATGATTCTTTATGGAAATTGTATGTCATTTTTATAAATAATCTTTCGTTATGTTTGGATACATCATGGTGGTGTAAGCAAAATAAATATATCTATTATTTATGAATAAATTCAACGACGTGTTATACGTTGGCAAAATGTGACTGTGACATACCAAAGCCGTGCCGGCGTGCATAAGTAACACAGTAGGATTAAATTCAGTTTTTACTTAGGTACAATCTACTTTTTGAATTGTAAGTTTTGGATTAGTAAATAAAACTATCCAAACGAGTTATTGATACTCAGAGTACATATACCTTGATATGCATAAATAACGAGTACAGTTAGTTATGCACTTAAAACAAACACTCACCATACGCGATAGAAATCGTAATAATTAACTGATGCCTCTTTACATTCATCACGCATTGGCATTTGTATTGAACGTGACATAGTTTAATATTACTATTCTGTTATAGTTTTACAGTAATAAGTATAAATTCAGTTTACCAACGAATTGACGTCACCTAGAGAAAGACCAGTGTATTAAACATTTACTTTTCTTTTACTTTTGGAAGTGGTAATACACTTATTTGTATTGCAGTCACGCCAACACGACACAATAATTTCTTAGCATGTGTCGTGATCTTGTATGAATTTATCACAGTTATTAAACTTAGTTGTAGCTAGTATTTCACAACGAGTTAAAAAATAACTACTACTCGATATCAAGTAGTTTAACTACGGAATTTATCGAGCTTAACCGTCACAAAATACTCTATATCAATGGTGGACTTTCTTAACTTCATGGAGCTTAAATTATAGTTTACAAAAAATTGATAACGTAGGAGAGTATTTAAGGTAGAATTTACACACCAAACTACTTATTACTGGATAATTATTATTAGAATGAATTTCGTATTTTTACCACAAAATACCCAATCTGGCTATTGATTTACACTAGACAGTGATTTTATTGTATAAATAAATACTGGTTTCCAAACAACATAGTATTTATCAGTGGTCTGTGTGTATCTGTACAGCAGGCCGGGACCCTGAGACCATCTCCCGGGTATAGCGTTGTGAACTGATGGAGATATTTATTACTTATTCAGTGCGTATTCAATTATTGTTATGTAAGTTTCGGAATTGGAAAAAGCTTTCAGTTTTGCGATAAAAATAGTCAAAAAAATTTTAGAATTTAAATTACGACCAGTTAAAAAAAATACAAATCCTATTAGATTCTATTAGTATCGACCAATGGTTCACATATTTCACATTTTTGCAAAGATTAAATAAAAAATCAAACATAACTTTTACAATGAAAGCTTTAAACTGCAAGAGCCCCAGGCACAGCACCACTCGTGGAGAGACTATGCAAAGAAATTCTACACGCTCAGGATTAATTAACTATAAAAAGTTGATTTAATTAAATTCATTGCTCACTTCCAATTAAGGTCTGTTCAATCCAAGCGCTTTTATAATTACTTAGATTTTAAAAATGAAATATGAAACTCAAATCTCACCAATGTGCTTTGTTTCCAAAATAGTTTGAAATTAAAAATATTTATTTGTCATCAGGAAGTAAGTTGTTCTTTAATTTATTTCACGCTATATAATCGTAGGTACAGAATATTTACTTTCCGCTCTATTTCATACACACACTGAGAATAAAAGTGGCGAGTTTGTTTAACAACTGCGGGACTCTGAATGGAACTGAACTCGTTCTCTGCGAGTTTCACGTCTTTGTTCAAAAATTGTGACGCACAGTAACATTTTAATTTGCCACAACATTTGTTCTGCCTCAAAAAATAAATTTGTTTAGCTAAACTACTTAAAACTAGTTAACTAATAATCTCAATACGGCCGTTGATGATTTTTAGTTTCATACATATTGCGATTTACCAAATCTCTTGGCAAAGTAATAGTGTTTTTCCATGCAAGGTTTTGAGTTTACATAGGTACATGTCATAAAGGTTACCTGACATCATGTCACGTAGGCAAGATTGTTATACACTAACTGCTATATAGATTGCGCTAAAGGGGATATCTGTAGAAATAAGGCAATTGCAGATCTGCTTATCTTCAATGCAACAACATCTAAATAGATATATAATATCCTACATGCAATAAAAATACTAAATATTATGTCATTTTATTAGCATACTAAAATCTTGCTAATATGATCATTAAAGGCAGGTTTGTCTCAGTAGTTATCCTGGCCATACGACAATTTACTAATATACTTAGAAAAATTTACTTACTATTTTGTCGTATAAACTCAGCCTTTGCGTACTTTGCACAAATTTATATTCATATATATTCATATTTATATTCATTATAGAATTATTTAGATTGATTTCTTCTCTTAATTAGAAATATCAAGGAACAGAGAAATAAATTTACCCCGAATCTACAGAAGTTTATATTATACTAACATATCTGTAGACTATCTTTTTATTCACGACTGGGGCCAATATTTAAAACATGCTTTTGGACACAATTTGATTGCCGATATCCATCATGCGAAAGTTATTTAGTTCTTAACGAGTCGACGTTTAGTAACAATAGTAGTAAATAAAATAAATAATGAGATAAGTGTTTGAAATGCCGTATTAGTGGTTGGCTGCACACACCTTCGCTCGTATAGATTACATAAATTTAGACCTTCTGGTAGGATTCAAGTAACTAATTGTTGTAGCTTGTTCGGTACCTGGATAAACTTGAGATATTTAACTCTTATACATCATAACATATATGCAAAACATAAGTGTAAAGTTCACCAGTATAATTTTTGGTAACTAGCTTTTGATCAGTTGACAACTTTGAGCGTAAATGTATCCTCTTCCTTTAACCACTTATTAGGTCTACATACACTTATACAACCTTAAAGAAATTGGCTAAGTGTGAATGATTGTTAAAAATTTCTTTAAGCATATGTCAATCACCTTTACAAGAAACAAGCCCAACCATTTCATAACAATATTCTTTCCAACACGCATATTTCTGAGTCCTCACACTTATGTGGTAAAAGATGAAATATATACTTCCTTGTAAAATAAATGCAAAGATTTGTCAATCAACATAAATAATTGAATCCTTATAACTGTCGTATTAATATTTCACAAATACACCTATCTTCTTAAAAAAACATCCTACCAATGTTCGGA